TTCTTAAATTGGAGAGCTATATACTTTTTTTTAAAGATAAAAAGTATATATAATCACAGGCATGAAGAGGTGCAACTCATGTACAATATTTATCAAGTTAATCAAAATATCTATAAGGTTTCCATAATCCTCGATAGAATACAACATATGACCCCTTAACAAAAAATTTAGAGTATGGAATCAATTATCCTTGAATTTGTCAAAGTTGGATTCAATGCCCTCGAACACCTTTATGTTCCTCTCTTTTCAGATCACCCAAAAACATGGTAACTCGAAGATCTACCTTGCAATGTGGGCACCTTACGGTTTCCTTCCTCTGTGAAATCTCCTTCCCCTCTTCCTTCATATCTCCTCACCCAACCACCAACTCTGACGAGGGAGGGTATGCGGAGGATTGTTTTGATTCCTGAAACCTCAACCAATGCATGTAATCAAAAGACTTAACCACCTAAATCCCTCTTCTTAATTGAATCCACAACCACCTATATGGCATGTAAAAATAAGATAATAAGAAAAATAAAAGAAGGAAAGACATCATGACTTACTCGATAAGTCGATTCCAACTGCTCGGCTCAACAAAATTTAGGAAAACTCTCCAACTTTGAAGAACTTGAAGAACACTTAACAAGCTAATTTTGAGAAAGTAAAAATTTTAACTTTTACTAATAAATTGAATTGTGATTACAATCTATGCATTAAGGTCTTTATATAGGCTCTTATTACTAATCCTAATTGGAATAGGATTTTAATTTACTGTCTAAACTTTTATACTTAAATTTAATTAAAATACTTATATTTAAAATATTAAAATAATTAAACTTTATCTCATAAGATAATTCAAACCACTAAATCAATTAAAATAGTAGAACACCTCCTTGTAGTTGAATATGGACTTTTTCTTGACCTGGATTCCTACTTGCGCTCCAATTCATCCTTCTTCTCTCTTTCTTAATTCTTGACGGATCTTGAATAGAAGTCTTGTTAGAAATTTCCTAGATTTGGATTAGGAGTCTTCAAGATGACTTTGGCATGGATACTTTCTCCTAGGCCGATTTCATGGTGCTCCCATTTTCTTTTTCAAGTTGAATTCTTTTCTCATCTTCTTGGTTGATAGTTCTTGAATTGAATTATTCTTTTTTCAGCTTGTATTCTTCCATGGATATGTGGAATTCTTCTTGCTTTTGGACTTGTAGTGAATGTGGGAGACTGGTCTCCTCATGTGCATGGAATTCCTCTTTTTTCTTTCCTCCATCTCCATGGTGGTTGAGTTCGGCAAGGCAAGGAGCTCCTTGGCCGATGGCTTCCCCAAGGAATCTTCTTGTTCCTTCTCCTTTTTGGGCTCGGATTGCTTTCTCCTTCTCCCCATTCGAATCAAGGAGGATGAGCCTCCTCTTGCGGTTGACCCGTTTCTTTCTTGGGCTTTTTCGGACTTGGGCAGTTGAAGGCAAGGCCGGACTTGGCCGGGTCTTGGCCTTCGTCTTGGGCGGCGGCCAAGCCGCTTCTTGGCCCTTCAAGATGGACCTCGGGATTAAGGCCCTTAGCTCTTTGCGGTTTGGGCATCCCAAACCACTTTTGGATCGACCCTTGGAAGAGGGACCCGTGGGCCTTTGGGTTTTGGCTCTTGGCCGCTTGGGTCGGGTACCTTGGTTCTCATGGGTCTTACCTTGGGCCGTGTATGCAGGTTGGCTTCAAGAAGGCCCAACTTATCCGGATTTGAGCCCATAAGCTCATGGCCATGGGCATGTGTGGCGTGTGTCCCACGTGCGTGCTTTCTTGTGGCCTGGTACAACGCCCTCTGCGCTACTTTTTACGACCAATATGGTGAAGTAACATATGCTCTGCCTATTAGGTACGTATGTGCTTTTCTGACCCCTGTCAAACCGTATGCCGTACCCCTGACTTAGATTCTAGACCACGCGACAACTCAAGATTGTGAAACACATGCTTATAACTTACCTTCACATGTAAGTAACCTATGCTCTGCCTATTAGGTATGTATGTGCCTTTGCAACCCCTGTCAAACCATATGCCATGCCCCTTAGATGCTAAACCACATGACAACTCAAGATTGTGAAACACTTGCTTATAACTTGCCTTCACATGTAAGTAACCTGAGTTACCATATTTATACTTTTTGCTTAAGATTTTTGCTTGAGGTATACTTTTTGCTTAAGGTTTATGATCTCCTATTGTGCAAATTTGGTTAAACTGCTGTTTATTTTTTTTTTCCTTCTAAAATTTTGGTGTGGAATTGTAATTATTTTCACTTCTCTTTTTTGGCTGTAGATCCTCAAAAGGGTGAAAGAGTATTAGATATGTGTGCAGCCCCTGGAGGGAAAACAACTGCCATTGCTATCCTTATGAAGGATGAAGGAGAGGTTATTGCAGTTGACAGATCTCATAACAAGGTACAACTTTCGACCTAGAAATATTACTAAGTTTGACAAACTTTATATAATATGGATCCTGCATCATATGTTATCCTAACTTATTGGATTACCTTTTCATGTGTGTAATAGGTAATTGGGAATTGGGATGTTCCCTTGTGAAGTGTTTAGTTGCGTTTGATTCCATTTTTAGTTTAGTTGTAGAGTCGAATATTTTTCTTGTTGCCCGATATTTTTGCATGTTGATGGTAGTGAACATTTCGATTTTGAATAAAGAGATGAACGGAAAAAATTTTCTGGATGCATCCCCCTGGGCTTTTCAGACACTATCGACCACAGTATCTAATGCTCTGCGTTCCAAACTATCTGAAACAGACAGTCTTTATTGTGACATTCTGTATTAGTAGGGAAATGGCAAGGTTGTAGACTTATAAACCCCTAATACTGATGTATGTAAATTGTTAGTAGGGAAATGGCAAGGTTGTAGACTTATAAACCCCTAATACTGATGTATGTAAATTGTTGTATCATCCTGGTTCATCGCTAAAGTGTTATGAACCATGGTGATAGAAATATATATGTGTTTGCGTGCGTATATACGTATTTTTGGGGATGAACCATGATGATACAAACTGTATAATTTCAAAATTAAGCCCAAAGTTTGATTGATGTTATCTATTCCACTTTGTTTTTATTGTATTGACAATCCTTAACCTGTTTCATGGAGAGTTTGTCAAAAGCTTGCATCTTTCTCATCAGTAATGTAATGAAGGGTTAATGGTTATTTAAGTAGGTCCAAGAGATTGAAGAGTCAAATTTAGATAACACAAGGAATTAGTAATTTTATGTAATTTGTTTCATTGAAAGGGGAGTTCTTAACATTCTAAATGGTTTTTGCTCCTCTCAAAATACAGTGTTCTGAGAGCTTGGGTTTTTGTTTCCTAATAGGTGCTAGACATTCAGAAATTGGCTACTGAGATGGGGTTGAATTGTATAACTACATACAAACTTGATGCTCTAAAAGCTGTTTGTCGAAGAAATGAAAATAATATTTCTCTTGGCAATAGTAATGGTGTTGTAACTATTCAAGGTTCTGAATCATTGAGGTTCAATGATGAGAATATATCATCTGGTGATGCTGAAAGATTAAAAGCTGATGCAACTTGCACAGAAAAAGGTAGGCAAGTACTGCTAATTTGATGCACTATCTTCCTGAATATGATGAAAAGCATGTTCTTGTTATGGAAAGTCTTCTCACTTGCTACAAACTATTATATTCTTGATTTTTCACAAGTAGATAACTTAGCATTTTCCTCCATTCCTGTCTCTGCTCTTCTTCTGGTTGTACTTACTACGGCATTTGCAATTTTTTTTTGTAATCTTTAATACAGTATACTATTTGGGTTATAAATAATGATTTATGCAGTGTCTGCTGATGTGGTGTCCACTGGCATACAATTTATGGACAATGATTTATGGATTATTGGGGGGTCAAATAGGTTATAGCTGGATCTGTGAAAGATGAATTGTGGGCATGGGTTGGGTTGTGTTAAAAGAACAAAAACTTAATGCTTATTCCAATCTCAATAATGTGGGTAGTGTGGAAAGAAAGAAAGTTTAGAGCTTTTGATGGGATTGAGAAAGATTTCAACTACATTAAGAATAGATGGATTCATACTTCCTGGTTTTTTTATTTTTGGGCATGATATTAGGGACTTAGAGGATTTTGGAATAGTATTAGATCAATTGATAAAGATGTAAAAGATGTGTAAATGGGAGGAACCCCCCTGTTACCGATGATATAATACTATACTTTTATTTCAAAAACAAAATATATCATACTACTTGTACTGCAGTGTACAGATCCAAACCATGTACTGCTTAATACAGTATAACATTTTTTTTGAAATAAACCTTTGAATTATAACTAAAAGGTGGCTGAACAATGATCAGGATATCTGTTAATTGAATAGTCTGTTATTGGTATTTTGGGACTTCTATCTTTAATCTCATGTTATCCTGGTCTTTGTTTTGATGTTTTATATCAAATCTGACTTGTTAGAAAATTATGGTTCTTTTGCTTGAGATTCAACTTCATCATTCTAAAATTTGGCACCAATACCAAAAAAATGGTTGGAGTGGTGTAAATATGGTGAATCTATACATTTAATTTTTCCTAGGAAAGGCATATTATTAAATAAAGGTAGCTAATAAAATTGTTTATCATGTGAGATTTTACACTTGAATGAAATGGGGAATAAGGTATGCTTACCCTGTTTTATCTTTGTGGACTTCTGCGGTTACTTCAATATGAGGGAAAACTGTGCCTGTATATGATTGCTTTGAGTTTTAGAATTTCTTTCAGAGAAAATTTGGTTTAAACCTTGTATCAAATGTTCAAGTGAGTCTCATGAAATCTAGATTTGTAGTGCACCTCCTCATTTTGTTTATAATTTTTATATGATTCTTATTCTTTTGTTTTGTTCTGCACTTAAAAAAAAGATCTAAAATTCATATATTCATCCAAAATTCTCAATTATTTTAGTCCGCAATGAAAAAGCAAATGAGAGAACTTACGTTAGCAAAGCTGACATCAGGAAGTATATGCGAAGAATGAAGAATGGACCAGGTCGAAATCAGTGTTTGGGTGGGAGGGTTGATAATTCTAAAGGTTTTGATCCTAATAGTTTTGATCGCGTCCTGCTTGATGCTCCCTGTTCCGCTCTTGGTCTGAGACCTCGTCTTTTTGCTGGGGAGGTATGAGAATTTTTTCAACATTTCTCTTGAGGGGTTTTCTTTTGTTCCTTGTTTTGGTCATCTTCTTTTATACAAATTAACAGAAAAATGGTAGATAAATTTGGTGCTACATGTGCATGTGGATTTTTAATATAACATATATTCATTGTACATATATGTGGAATGCTTCACTTTTTCTTTAGCTCTGCAGATGCAGGACCACTTAGGAATTCATTTTCTATCTTTTAGTAATATTTTTATGATAATTTTTTCCTTTTATTAGAATTCTTATTTTTAGTTTTTTTATGAGTAAATATTCTAGACATAATGGGAAGTTTATGAAGAAAATTATTATTTTCTAATGCAAAAGAAATATATTAGACAGAGAGGAGGATAAAACTAAAAATATGATTCCCAAAATTGCAATAGAGATTTAAGTCAATTAGCTTTCTTATAAATATATCTATTATCACTAATAAAATCATCAAGCAATTAATCCGAAGAGTTTCTCTCTTTAAAAGATGGGAAGTTCTTTTAAATGAGCCTCACTGTTCGCTTAGAAGAGGGGTAGTGCAAGCTTGCCGCTTAGGTTGAAAGGTTATCTCATGAATTGTTGACTACAAGGAGGGAGACTGCCGACATCACTAGATTAACAAAAAGAAAAGACAAGAAACTAGTTCACTCCAACAATAATACAGAGAGGCAGAAGATTTTGGCTGCATTTATTTGGGTCACTTTTACTTGGTCATGACTTATGTAGGGTGGAAGATTTTGGATATGTGATTGATTGTCTTACTGAACTGTAAATACTTTTTGTACACAGTGGCACCTCCTTGGTGCTTTGCTAATATATTTATCCTTGTTATTTCAAAAAAAAAAAAAATACAGAGAGGTGGAAGTACGGTGAGGTGATTAGCGAGCTTAGGCTTTCCTAGATACAATGGCTCAAAGGATCCATTGAGGTGGATTAACAGGTACGGGCACTTCTTCCAGCATCAAAGGACAGCCAAGGAGGACAAAGCGGGTTAGCTTCTTTCCACCTTGAAGATGATGCCCAACTATGGTTCCTAAAATTTAGAGAGACTGATCGGAGCTCTCTGGAAAGAATTTAAATCCCCCAATAACCTTAGATTCGGTCCCCCAATACACAGAAACGAAATGAGAGAACTGATTAAATTGAAGCAGGAAGGAATTGTTGCTAAGTACCAGCAACATTTCGAGCAGCTTTTAGCACGTGCATCCGCCCTCATCCCTGAGCAAGAAGTTGAGATCTTCACCAGTGGTCTCCAAGTGTATATCATTGCTAGCGTCAAGCTACAACAACAACGTAATGTCACTACTCATATGAGTTTGGCAAGGCTCTATTAAAGAAAGGATGATCAAACAAAATCAGAGGACAACAGCAAGATAGGAGCATCCAACCTGCCGTTTATTAAGAAAATGAGTAAGAAACCAGATTAAAAAGAGGACGAAGAAGGGCCTTTGCTTCAACTGTGATGGATCATTTGTTCCAGGGCATGTGTATAAAAAGCTATTTTGGTTGGAATTTGAGAATGATGAGGCAAGAGATGAATGAGATAAGTGAGGGACGACAAGATATTCCACTTTGGCGCCTGTGGACAAGCTTCAATTTGAGGAGGGGAGAAATGTTATAATAAATTTGTGGAAGCAACAGAATGGAGGAGTAGTCTGAGTCTAGTAGGAAATTGGTTTTTAAGGAACTAAGAATAGTCATAATTTAGAGTTATTTAAAAAATTATATTATTTAGGGTTAGATTTAGATTTAGATTAAAAAATTAGAATAAAACTAAGATTAGGATTCCTAAAAACTATAATTAGATTTAGATTAGAACTTGAAATAAAACTATGAAGAAAAGGACAGAGGTGCTGCTTTACATTGGGTTTATCCCGCTTTATTTTTCTCTCCTGTTCTTCTTGGAGCCTTTTGAGGTTTTGGTGCTCCACTTGTACTTTATATTTTTCCTCTCTCTATTATTATTACTTTTTTTTCATATTAAAGAAAAACATATTTAGGGGCTGATTTGGATAATTTCAGAAAGCACGGGAACAGATTTATCTGTCTTCTTTAAAGCTCTTCTCTTATATTTCCTTCTCAATCCATTTGGTTATTTCTTTTATAACAATTGATAATTGATTCAACTTATTCTTTTTGTCCCAGGAGACGATTGAATCTTTGAGAAACCATGGCAAGTATCAAAGGAGAATGTTTGACCAGGCTGTTCAATTGGTTCGCCCTGGTGGAGTTATTGTATACTCAACGTGAGAATAAACATACTGTTCTAAGTATTGTTTTATTATGTGCCATGAGTTCATGGTTTTCTATTGCATGTAGTATGCATCTATTGTACTATTTCTGGATGGACTATTTATAAAATGTAAAAGAGCAATAGATACTTTGAGTAAATGTTCATATTTGTTAGCTTTGCCAACGCTCTTCCCATAGATCTGGGATCTATTGGTGATCCAGTAACTCAAGTTATTTTAAGATTTTGACAGTTTATTTGTTATCAAGGAAAATCTGTAATTTTTTGATAATTTTATTTTATTTCGTACATAGTTTTCTACTACGGTAGGAGTTTTAGGTTTTATTGGAGAGCAAGGGGAATTAGGAATTAGAAATTTCAGTTTGATTATTTCATTATTTGGTCTATTGGATGGCTATATGGGAGTAACTTTATCAGGATTTTGAAATGGTGTTCTCTGATTGCTGATGATAACTGAGATTTGAGTTACTTGTCCTTTTTCTTTCATTCCTTTTTCTCTATACTATTTTTTTACTTAACTGATTCACAAAATTGAGCTGGATGTGTTGACACTGTTGTTTTCATTGTGCCAGATGTACAATTAACCCTGGGGAGAATGAAGCCTTGGTTCGCTATGCTTTGGATACATATAAATTCCTTTCTCTAGCATCACAGGTTGGATTCTGCAATTGGACTTTGATCCTTCAATTTTCCAGTTAATAAGTGCAGAAATATTAGGAAAAAATCTAGAGGAAGAGATATGCAGAAATATTAGGAGGAAATCTAGGAAGAAAAGAGGATCTAGATTTGATACTAAAATCCTAAATAAAGAAAAGTTTCCTAAACATTTTAGAAGTATATGTTCTGTCCTATTTTTGGAGGATACTGATTTGGTATCCAACCCTATGAATAATATGATAATATAAAAGAAAACCATGGAATAAAATTTTCAGCTATCTTCTGTACGAAATCTATAATTGATCCAATATCAAGAATAGAAATCTTAAGTTGATCTCTAAAGTTTGGATTTTGGTCATAGACTTTACATTAATGATGTGCTTCGTTTAATTTTACTAAGTTCAATGACCATGATATGATCACTGTATTTGCTTCTCTCATGCATCAGCTCTTGGATCTCCTTCCCTTAGTTTCATACCTAGCAGATGATTGATTTTCTTTTTCCCTTCAAGTAGGTTTGGACAAATTAGGATTTCCAAAAAGAAAGAGGCTTGGGTAAGGGAAATGAGGTTACAAACTGTATTCATTTTTCTTTAATGGAAATTGTTGACATGAATATTTTGTTGTCAAGTAATTGTGATATTTTTCCTATATAATTCTTATCATTAATTTCTTATAATTATTTACAATCTCTATTATAAGGAAAATTTTCTTATTTGTATTTAAGAATTATTGTATATATACGTGTCATTTGTAACACCAAAAATATAGTAGAAATAAATTAAATAGTTTTTCTTAAATTTCTACATGATATTAGAGCACAATAAGAATATTTTAGGGTTTTACTTTAGAGTTTTTTCCAAACTCTA